TATATATAAATGTGTGCGTGTGTGTGTGCGTGCGTGCGTACGTGTGTGTGTGTGTGTGTGTTTGTATATATATATATCCATATCTATATATATATGGATTTATGTATATATCTATACCTATATCTATATCTAAACCTATATCTACAACTATATCTATATCTATATCTATAAGTATATATATATATATGTGTGTGTGTGTGTGTGTATGTATATGAACATATGCATATATATATGTGTGTGTGTATGTATATGTATATATATATATATATATATATTATATGTAGATACAGATATTGATATGTATATACGTATATATATAAATATATATATAGTCACGGGATCCCGTTAAATAACACCTGAATTCAAATAAGGGCACAACACATACCCCGAAACGGCGCCTGTGGCTCGCGACGCCACATTAGTGGCAAATGACTTCGCTGTGTCTGCTTGGGCCATGACAGAGTCCATCGTTCTATATACAAAGGGAGGCACGGGGATCTGCAATCCAATGTGGGCGTACAAAGAAATTTGCCCGTTAGATATCAAAAAGAAAAAAAGGGTAGATTTAATATGCAGTACGACAATTGAGTGTATGTTGTATAGATGTAGGCAAGGCCTGGCCAATTGTTGTACGCGCATGACTCGAGTTCTTAAGCGCAAGGCGCGACGACTTCATAGCAGCTAGCTCTCTCACCAGCCGTATTGCGGAACATAGACACAATCCGCTGGCAAACGAAGCACGCACATTAGCGCTCTCTCCCCCAGACACTGATGCTGGAACGTGTGCATACTATCTTCTTATGTATGATATATTGCATATACCATCAGCATTTTCTGGCCCGCTGTGGCTGGCAGCACACAGTCACTAGATATACTAACACTTCAGTAATACAAAGTAGGCTTCGTAGACCATGATTCAGTAGTATGATGTAAGCCATAGATACAATACACCGGGAACATATTGCTTAGCAACCAGACAATGCGTATTTTGTACGACATCCCTATGAGTCGCAGATATGCCTGGTATGTCTTCATATATATATATATATATAGCCTACCTTGAACAATTTGACAGGCATGCCCAGCAGTATCCTGGTGATGTTGAACATACACGCCAGCCGTCCGGCTACATTGAGGTACTGCAGCTGCTGCATGTCGCGGAGGATCACAGTGGCACATCGGTATTCTATTTTTACTTCTGAAAACGCGTTTTCCACGTCGTCGATCAACTTCTTGGTTTCAAGCAGGACCTGGAAGATACGGATTCAGATTCAGACTCGACTGTTGGTATATGTACTAGAGTGTTGGTATATGTACTAGAGTGTTGGTATATGTACTAGAGTGTTGGTATATGTACTAGAGTGTTGATATATATACTAGAGTGTTGGTATATGTGCTAGAGTGTTGGTATATGTACTAGAGTGTTGGTATATATACTAGTGTTGGTATATGTACTAGAGTGTTGGTATATGTACTAAAGTGTTGGTATATGTACTAGAGTGTTGGTATATATACTAGTGTTGGTATATGTACTAGAGTGTTGGTATATGTACTGAGTGTTGGTATATGTACTAGAGTGTTGGTATATGTACCAGAGTGTTGGTATATGTACTAGAGTGTTGGTGCATGTACTGAGTGTTGGTTGGTATATGTACTAGAGTGTTGGTATATGTACCAGAGTGTTGGTATATGTACTAGAGTGTTGGTACATGTACTAGAGTGTTGGTATATGTACTAGAGTGTTGGTATATGTACTAGAGTGTTGGTATATGTACTAGAGTGTTGGTATATGAACTAGAGTGTTGGTATATGAACTAGAGTGTTGGTATATGTACTAGAGTGTTGGTATATGTACTAGAGTGTTAGTATATGTACTAAAGTGTTGGTATATGTACTAGAGTGTTGGCATATGTACTAGAGTGTTGGTATATGTACTATGCCACAGAACCTTTGTATACTCTAACCCCAGAGTCGGGCGAGCTGAGACCACCCATGGCGTAAAGGATGAGGAGTGCAGCTGTGCAGCAAATGTGTACAGTCGATATCTACGGAGTGCCGCGGTTAAAGACATCGATTTGATCTGAACGTAATGTATACCAGCAGGTAACTTGCACCACATTCATACCACCCGTTATACTACTATAGGTAGTTGGCCCCATTGACCAAAAACAAAATCACGTGCTCACTCAACTATAACCACATAAGCAACTTCCTATATATCGCCAATAAATGACGTGCTTGATATATTTCATAATCAAATCCAAATATGAAACACGTACCTGTTCCACAATCCTGGGCTCAATATGTAATTCAGGATGTTCCGCGTTTACTCGCTCCACAAATTCCAGGAGAGTTGCATATTCCCCTTCGTAGAACTCGTTATATATGTGATGCACTAGATCTGACAGCGCCCCTTCCGAAGGTACATTCACCCCGTGTCCTTGTAAGTCGTATATATACCGGCTCTTTGCGCATCTAAGTGTTTCGTATGCATTTGCGAGTTCTATACACGGAGCAAGGGTTTAGGTGTGTCAGTGACGCACAACGCGGTAGAAATGCAGTAATGTAACACACAACTATGTTATTTCATGAGCTTTAAAAGTGTGTAGATACAATGCAATAACAAATCGTTCTCCATTCACACGTATATTAATATATATATATATATATATATATGCATATATATACATATCTGTATACAAATAATTTACAAAAAAAAATAATATATATATATACGTGTGTGTGTGTGCGTATTCATATATATATATATATATATATAGTATGAGTATATATATGTGTGTTGTTGTGTGTGTATATGTATGTGTGTGTGTTGTGTGTGTG